TAAATAGCGCGCGCGAATCACGCGTCTGTGATGTCTAATAAAACAAAAACTAGATTAATTTTCAAAGATTGATTTTATCTCTTCAGAGTGATTCATACAGCAAATAAATAGCTTGTTATATGTATATCAGGACATTTTCTGTAATCATATGTCAAAATTTCACAAATTTTTAAATTTCCAAGTATGAAAATCTTTTTTGGAAGTTTCTCTGAATTCTGAAAAAGTGTGCGTAATATTATCGGAAAAATTATATGGTAAATTACGCAAAAAAATTACGGTAACAACAATATACGTTACCAATACGTTAACAATATACGGCAACAATATACGTTAACAATACGATGAATTGAAATATTCGAGCGAGTTCGAATTTTATTTTCATTTTATTTTCTACATGTCAGACTGCAGAAAAAAGATGCGTCTGGAACATAATAACTTCTAATGATTATGTCATTGACTATCGATTGCGTGCCACAGCCTTGACGCGAGATTCGTATTTCCGGACTCACAATCAAATGACTTTCGTGTTTCGTAACTCGTCAAAGCTCGAGATGAGCATCGTAAAGGCCAGTTAGTTCAGTCCTACTCATCTGCTGCTGGAAGAAATGTACATATACGCGCCAACGATCGGAACACTGCTAACTAGCTGGTTATGATTCGCAACTTGCGAAGCATACGAATCAGTCCAAATCGGCCTGACGTTACTGGCCGCGTAAAAGCGAAAGTTCGCGGGGACCAGTTCGTTGGCGAACGTGAGTGAGCGAGTGAGCGAGAAGCGGAGAGGAAACCTCTCGACGCGCGGTGAAATCGATTTCGAACGCGAAACGTGAAACCCAAAGGCCTAAGGCCCTCCGAAGTGGAATAAAAGTGCGTGCGGCTTCGCGTGCACATCCGGTTTCGTTTCTTCCATTGGGTAATAATTACTAGAAATAAATCGTGAATCTATCACAGATGGCTAATATTGCGATGCACAGTGACGATGTATATGACGAGAGACGCGTATCAGCGTACGTTAAATATGATTCAATAAAAGTTCACAATAGATCTTTTTATAAATCTTTTATTAATATTCATTTATTATATTTTTTGCTATTTATCGATTCGTTTGGTTTCTACAGATACGTCCTGTTTAAGCGACATTATGACAAATATGTGGACCTTGCGGAAAAATACAAAGAAGCGAAGAGCGTCGCTTATTACCTGGAGGAGCGCTATCATGAAATCAAGGTATGTGAAAACATTTTTGCCTCGCTTCGTTTATATATATATATATATGTATATATATGTATATATAGACAGTGGAACCTCGATAACTCGAACCTGTACAACTCGAAAACCTCTATAAGACGAAAATTTTGTTTATCCCCTTTCGCTGCAGAAAACCTTTATAAATCGAAATAAAATCTACTTTAACTCGAATTATTTGTCAGGCATTTAGATATATATATATATTTATCTCTGGAACTCGAATTTAAAGTAGCCAGACCTCTACAAGTCGAAGTTTATCTCTATAAATCAAACTTCCATTGTCGCTTATACCTCTATAATTCGAAGTTGTAGCTATGTGTAACCGTGAGTAATAGCCTGGTATTTTATTTTATGGTTACATTTATCATATGTATGCAATAAATAATTCACTGTTAAATATTAATTTTTTTCCTCTAAAAGCCATTATAATCGGAAAATTATAAACTCGTACAAACTACAAAGCCTCGATAAGAATACAAAGTTCGACAGTATAAACATTTTATATACGGGGGGGGGGTCTGACATTAAGTATAACACCACTCAGTACCTCACCTGGATAAGTAGAGCTAAACTGAATAGAAAAGTCCTGACAATCGGATGTGTGTGTGTGTGTGTGTGTGTGTGTGTGTG